TGAACAATTAATTTGTTTAATTTTATCAAATACAATATTATAATTTCTTCAAATTGGACTATTAATTAAATCATTAATATCTTCAAATATATTTTTTGCTAGTAATTGACTATTATCTGGTACTACTGTTTAACTAAGAGGTAATTCACCACTTGAATAACTAATACTCTAACATTAAAATTTTTTCTTATTGGATTAATTGTATATATATCATCAGCGTCTGTACCTCCTTGTATTTTGTGCTAATAGAAATTAATATCTTGAAAGTCCTACTTCATTACTTTTACTTTGAAGTTTACTATTTCTATGACCAAAAATATTTAAACGTAGAATTTGATAGAAATCTAATATATATTTATTTCTTATATTTTGGTTGAAATTTATATCTTGAAATAATAAAGTAGAAGAATAATAAAGTTGAGGCCATCTAAGTAAAGTACTATTTCCATCTGAAGTAACTGCAGGTATTGTAAAATTAACTCTATTGGTTCTTCTTTGAATAAATGAATTATATTTTGTTTGTTTAGCTGTATAAGTTTTCACATTACAGGTTTTTTCAAGTTCAGTTAATTCTTCACCTATTGGTGTACAAAAATTCACTTGTGGTCTAGCTATTTATTCTAATCCTATTGTAAAAATATTTTTATTTGTAGCATAAAAGCAACAGATACAACTAGAACTACAGGTCCTGGTTTAGTAGTATAATAACATCTGCAACTATTATTACAATTTTTATTTTTTTCTATTATATTTTTTTAATTATTGGTGTTGTTTTTGTTGTTTTGATTGTTGTTTTGGTTGTTTTTTTCTAAGTTTTGTTTTTTTTTGTTGTTGTTGGTTTACTTGTTACTTTTTTTGTTGTTTTTTTTAGGTTTAGTAACTGTTTTTCTTCTTCGTTTAGTTGAAGCTACTTTTATTGATATTGCTCAACGAATTGAATAAAAAAAGTAATAGCTTTTGTGATTATAGTTGATAAAATTTGTTTGAGACCTGAAATAGAAATAAATTCAAAATTTTCTTTATAAAAATGTGCAGTACCAAAGATTATTATAGATAAAACAATGATAATTTCTAATAAAATTATAATGAATAAAAAATCATATAGGTTTGTTTTATCCATACAGAAAAAAATTCTTTATAGTTTTATTTATATTTTTTTGTATAAATAGTTAAGTTCTATGTTTGAGATTAGTAGTTAAAAATGTGAGTTTATTTTTTTGTTTTATTTTTGTTAACATTATTAATGGGTATCCGTTAGCCCTTTGTACTAAATTTAGTACAGTTTTAAAAAATTATTTTACAGTAACAAAAAAGAATTTTTATTTTAAAT